TGGTGCAGCCTGGTGCATTTCCGCGTGGAATGGTGCAGCCTGGTGCAGGTCAGTTTGGAATGGTACCACCTGGCATGGATCAACATGCATTAGTGCAACCTGGTGCCGATCAACGTGGTTTGTTGCAATCTGGTGCAGATCAGCATGGTTTGGCACAACCTGTTACAGATCAAGATGGCCTGGTGCAACCTGGCACAGATCAGGGCGCTTTGACACAACCTGGCACAGATCAGGGCGCTTTGACACAACCTGGCACAGATCAGGGCACTTTGACACAACCTGGCACAGATCAGGGCGCTGTGACACAACCTGGCACAGATCAGGGCGCTGTGACACAACCTGGCACAGATCGGAGTGGTTTGGTACAACCAGGTGTTGATTGGAGTGGTTTGGCACAATCTCGTGCAGGTCAGTTTGGTGTGGTGCAACCTGGAATTGGGCAGCATGTTTTGTTACAGCCTGGGGCAGATCCTCGTCGCTTGGTTCAACCTGGTACTTATATGCCTAGCTTGGCTCAGCCTGGTCCATATCCTCCTGGTTTGGCCCAATCTGGTGTACACCCACCTGGTTTGGTGCCGCCTAGGGCACAACAGCCTAGTTTGTTCCAATCTGGTATCTCTCCTTATGGTTTGGTTCAACCTGGTGCATATCCACATGGTTTGGTGCAATCTGGAATGGATCAGCGTGGTTTGAGACCATCGAGTGCAGATCAGCAAGGCTTGATAGCACAAGGCCCAGGGTTGCATAGCTTTCCAACACTCCAGGCAGATTCTAGAAGCTTGAGATCACCTCACCCATATCAGTATGGTGTGTTACCTCCTGGCCAAGAACAATATGGTCGAGTGTCGCCACTCCTACCAGGTCAAGGCTCATCATCACCACGTACAGACACACAGAGTTTAGTATCACCAGACACCCATTGGCCAGGTGTGACGCATCCTGGTATAGATCAGCAAAGCCCAGCGCCATTAGGCACAGATATGGGGTCTGCACACCCTGACCCAGATCAGCAAGGCCAGCTGTACCCAGGTGCAGTTCAATCTGGTCAGGCGTATCCTGTCGGGGACCAGCAGGGCCCAGTGTACCCAGACTACGGTGGCCCAGGGTACACAGGTGTTGATCCACATGGCCAGGTAGCTTTGGATCCAAACAGGATTCCTGCCTTTCCTGCTCAGACTGACCTACGCCAAGATGCCACCTCTTTCAGGAGTCGAGACTCCCTTAGCTTTCCCCAAGTCTCACCAGAAGGAAGTGAACCCAGGAGTGGGGCCCAGAGCGAGCGGCATGAGTCAGTGGAGAAACTGGCTCCTAACTTCCCCATGGCCCTGGAGACCTTTCGTCTGATGGGAGAGCTCATCGGCCTCTATGTGGAGCTAAAGGAAAGGATGAAGGAGCTGGATGACAAGGCTGGCCAAACCGACTCGGAGAAGATCCAGTACCTGTTTACGCTGCTGGGTGAGCACCGCCCGTGTGGAGGAGAGCACTGTCCCCGCTCAGCTGGTGGGATCCCTTTCAACCCCTGGCTGCTGGACGCCTTCCTGCGTCCCTGAGAATAGCGCGTCCATTCTTAGCCCTTCTGGGTTCTCCCATAGCCATCGGGGTCCATGTAAATAGGCAGGCGAGGCAAACTAAACCAGTAAGATTGACAGGGCATCAAGACAGGAAGAGAGCAGGTCCTTTTGCCTTTGTAGAGTAGCTGCCTGGAGAGGAGCTGTTGGGTGAAGGAAAACGGTAACACCGGGAGGTGGGTTGGAAGAACGAACGCCAAAGAGTGAAGCATTCACCTGTCACAGCTCTAGGCCCTGAGAATAATCCAGATTTTAGTGATGGTGGAAATGGTGAGTCAGTGGACACAAGACCCTTTAGGACAGTGAGCAGTAGGTGGGTTTTCATGGGCAAAAGACGGTTCTGCTCCCCTCTTGTCCCAGTCCCTAGGAAGAACAGGGTAGGGTGATATGTCCTGCCGTTCTCTGGGGTCACTTCCTTGCTGTGGGCTGGAAATGGAGATTAGGAACCCGCTGAGACTCTAACTCTTCTGACCATAAGGCACCCACTTTCCGTAGTCAAGAAGACCTTACCCCCTGACCTGGACGAACAGATGAAGTCCTTAAAGACCTTGGCCAAAGAAGTTCGCCAGGAAAAGGCAAAAGTACGTAAGGGAGGGTTGCCTCCTGTGCCTTGTGGGGTGAATCGGAGCCCTTTCCGGTCACGCTTGGATAGATGATGGTCCTTTGCCACACGCTGCCACCTCATTGGGTTTTGCCCTCTGTCAGTGAGGAGATGCGCCCTAGCACATGCAGCTAGGAAGCACCATCACATCCATGTCCTGGATCTAAAAACAGACACCCAAAGCTGTTAGTGTACAGTTGAGTATACAGTTGCCTCCAGTTCAGGACCTTCTGGGATTAGAGGGCTAGATCTTCGTCATTCTCAGTGCTAGTTATCTGCATCTGTGAGACAGATAGGTGGCTGGATATTCAGAAGAACCTGGGTTCTTGTCAGGGGAGGTTGGCTAAGGGTTAGAGAATGGGAAAGGGGCTCCTTTGGGCGACAGGGCCATATTCTGGGAGTGGGGACCCGGGCCTGCCTGATCCTCTTCTTCCATTGGGCTTGTAGCTGGACAAGTTGCAAAGGATCCTGGAGGGCGATGGTGAGGCCCCAGGGAAGGAGCTGAAGGCTGGTCAGCTAGGCCTGCAGCTGGGCCTCCTCAGGTGACGCGTCCCACCCCGTGCAGCTGCCAGACTGGCAACATCCTCTCAGGCCGGGTGGTGGTGGCCCTCAGTTCCCATGTGCCCTGAACTGACCTCTGCCTTTGACCTGGAGGATATTAGCTCTTCAGGTTGCCCATGTCTCACTCAGGGAACTGGTAGAAGTTCTCCTAAAGCAGCTCAGCACCAGGACTGAGAGGAGCAAGATACTCCTTACACTGTCCCCAGTGTGAGACAGACAAAGCCACCTGCTTGAGCCCCTGCTGTACAGGGCCCCGTCCCACTGTCTAGCAGCCTCAGGGCAGTACACTGGATAGCCCTTCTGGGACAGGAGCAGGGCCCAGGACTCCCAAGACAGGGCTGTCGGAGGTGGTGAGCCCCACCCTTGTCCTGTACCCCCATGGCCAGGGGTCTGCACTATCAGGCTTGGCTCTCTGGGCTGGCAGTGAAGCCAGGCAGTCTCTTCTATATCACAGAGTCACCGTGACTGACATTGAGAAGGAGCTGGCTGAGCTGAGGGACAGCCAAGAGCAGGGCAAGGCCGCCATGGAGAATTCAGTGGTTGAAGCCTCCCTATTCCTACAGGATCAGGTGAGAACTCCGTGGGTTGGCTGTGGACGTCGGGCAGACCCTCTCCCTGCTCAGAGACCAGCCCCCATGGGTGTGTGTTGGGGGAGGCAGGTGGCAACTGTGATTAAGACTCAGGACTTCAGATGGCAAGCCGGCTCTGAGGCCATCACGGCAAGGGCAAAGGCAAGGGCAAGGGCAAGGGCATTCCCTGAGCAGGGGAATGAGGCCTGTGCACCACTGAATCTGTTTTCATTATACAACTTCCACATCATACCCTTTTAAAAATGATGAAGGACGGGGCTGGGGATTTAGCTCAATGGCACAGCATCTGCCAGCAACATCGTGAGTTCAATTCCCAGTACCGGAAATAAATAAATAAATAAATAAAAATAAAAACGATGAAGGCATTTCCAGAGCATTCACAAAGTTGTATAACCATCACTATGGTCCAGTTCTAAGACATCTCATCACCCCAGGAAGAAGGCCGTCACTCTCCAATCCGTCCCCAGACACACGGGCCAGCCCCAGCCCCTGCCAGCCACCCCTCTCCATCTGTCTCTGCTGGACATTTCTTTGATGGAGACGAAATCCGGCAGTATGTGGCCTTTTGCACCCGGCTTCTCTTCCGCAGTCATGTTTTGAAGCTCCAGCCATGTTCTAGCACGTATCAGTTACCTCACTTCCTTTCTTTCTCCTTCTCTCCTCCTTTTGCAGTACGGAGGATTACTGAGCCTCAGGCCCACCCCAGACCATGGCCACTCCCTCTGTCCTCCCGTGGCCTGGTTTTGTGCACGTTTGTGTCCCTCTCTTCGTCATCCCTTGCAGTCTCTCCACCCCTGTGTGCCATCCTCCCTCCGTCTGCCTGCCTGTCCCGCACTCGTGCCCCCAGTGGCTGTACCAGGCCTTTTAGGCTTCTTTGCCCAGTACTGAGACGGGTGGGTGCAGGCTGGCCACACTCCTCTTTTCAAGCCAGGCAACAGCTCCGTGGCCAGTCCACACTGGTTGCTGCTGAGTCAGCAACCAGGGCCCATCCCAGGCGGCGCACACTGGGACTGCAGACCAGGCTGAGGCGCTCTCCCCGGGGCTGGCACCCCTCAGGCCTGGAGAGACCTCTGAAGCGCTGTTTGCGCTGGTCAGATCCCTTTGTCACAAGCTGTGCACGTGTTGGTGGGACAGAGCACGTGCAAGTCCCCTGTTCACATCCCCAGCGCTGAGCAGAGCCTGTGAGTATTTATGGGCTGGCGTGGACCCGCCCACAGCCCTGCCCCCACGTCTCTCCTGCTCACAGTTAGACAAGCTCAGGACGATCATCGAGAACATGCTGGCCTCCTCCTCCACACTGCTGTCCCTGAGCATGACGCCACACAAGTCCCTGGCCGGCATGGCACCCAGCGAGATTCACCCCGAGGCCACTTGCCCCGCCTGCAGCTTGGACCTAAGCCACCAGGTCAGCACACTGGTGCAACGCTACGAGCACCTGCAGGAAATGGTCAACAACCTGGCTGCCTCCCGGCCCTCTAAGAAAACCAAGCTTCAGAGCCAGGTGGGCCTATACTCCTCTCCCTCTTGGGGCAGCCAGACATGGTCCCCAGGGGAGGCAGTGGCTTGCTGCCCTCCCTAGGGAGAACTGTTTGGACTTGAGGGTCAGTTTGTCATTGTGGAGCCCTTTAGCCAGATCCCACAAAAGTCCCTGGTCCTGCTGGGTGTTGTGGTGCACACCTGTATTCCCAGCACTCGGGAGGCTGAGGCAGGAGGATTGCTAGGAGTTCAAGGCCAACGTGAGTTCAAAGCCAGCATGAACTACCTAGTGAGACCCTGTCTCAAAAAACAACAAACCAAAACAAAGTTCCTGGTCATAGTCCCCGACAGCAGAAGAACTAGCTCTGGCAACAGGGAACTGTAGGAAGAGCTGGCCCAGTGGCTGGGTGGAATGGTGCCACATGGCACGGGGACTCAGGTTCAGTTGCAGAAGACATGGGCTCACCTGCCCACACCAGTCTCCCCACTCCTTCCTGATTTCCTCCAAAGGGCAGGCTTGCTGCGGGGACAGTCACAGTCCTTGGGTCCTGCCTCCTGGACTCAGAAATTCAGATCTGGCTCAGAGAAGGTGGAGATGATAGCCTATACCTCAACTCTCAGGGGCCACAGGCCTACACATCATTCCTGAGCCTTGATTACCTCTAATGATCACCCCCAGGCCCCTTGAGACCATCCATAAGGCTGTGGGGAATTGATACACCCACCCTATTGGCGGATACAACTATTAATGGAAAACTGTGAATGCCGCTGAGGCAGAGGCAGCAGTCTGAAGTGAGCTTTTCTGTCAGGTAGTTTTAAGGAACAGCTCATTAGAGGGCCACCTAGTGGTCATCCAAGCAGCCTTGCAGCGCTTTCCTTTCCTGACCCTTCTGCGGCAGGACGAAGAGCTGCTGGGCCGTGTGCAGAGCGCCATCCTGCAGGTGCAGGGCGACTGCGAGAAGCTCAACATCACCACCAGCAACCTCATTGAGGACCATCGGCAGAAGCAGAAAGACATAGATGTGAGTGGTCTGGGGTGGGCTGAGGCTCGGCCAGACCCGCCTGCTGCTCAGCGGTGGGCTCTTCATTCATCGCCGCTTGGCCCCCAGGTGCTGTACCAGGGCCTGGAGAAACTTGAGAAGGAAAAGGCCAACAGGGAGCACCTACAGATGGAGATCAACGTGGTGAGTGTCAGCTGGGAGTTGCTCTTTCCTGGAGGTCTGGCCAGCCCGGAGCGGGTAGGGAGCTGGGGGTGGGGAGGATACAGGCTCTTGGAAACCTGCTCAGCAGCAGCAGGGGCTGACACCTGGGGGAAAGGGCCCCTGCTGCAGCTCTCTCCCAGCTGGGGCCTCTCTGTCCCTTCTCTGGGCAGAAAGCTGATAAGAGCACCCTGGCGTCCAAAGTGAGCCGTGTGCAGTTTGATGCCACCACGGAGCAGCTGAACCACATGATGCAGGAGCTCATGGCCAAGATGAGAGGGCAGGAGCAGGACTGGCAGAAGCTGCTGGACAAGCTCCTGGCAGAGATGGACATGAAGGTGAGGGCAGGAGAGGCTGCAGCCTGGGTGGGGCCAATCTCCGCTGCTAGGACCTTGCCAGGCCCCCCTCCTGCTGCCTTGGCGCTCACCTGTGCCCACCCCACAGCTGGACCGCTTGGAGCTGGACCCAGTGAAACAGGAGCTGGAGGATCGGTGGAAGTCACTTCGGGAGCAGCTCAAAGAGCGCTCTCCCCTCTACCAGGCAGATGAGGCAGCCGCCATGCGGAGGTGAGGAGCAGAGGAGCCTGGGAGGCTGGCACACTGTGCTGGGAGGGCAGGAGGACGCCTGAGGCCCTCCCTAAAGCAGCTCCTGGCAGCGCACGGCTGGTGCTGCCCCGGACCGTCGTATAATTGGAGGACAGAGGTTAGAGCTGCAAGAACTTCTGTAGGTTGTAGAACTTCAGATGACAGTGGAGAAAGGAAGCAGGGGGTGCAGAAGGCTCCCTGGGCCTTTGGGACAGGGAGGGGCCGCAGTCCTAGAGCTGAGACAGCTCCTGGGGACCTGGTCTGCAATGAGCTTGAGGCCCAGAAGTTCCACTCTTGGCCACGAGGGGGCTCCCAAGGCCCACATAGGGCGCTTTTGGGCCTGCGAACCCTGGCCCGCTCAGGTCTAGGAGGATGTGAGTTCCTAGGACACAGGGCATGGATCTGCCACTCAGGTGGCCCAAGCTTCCAGCCTTCCAGCCTCTCACCTCGGGGCATCCATTCCTGCAGGCAGCTCTTGGCTCATTTCCACTGCCTGTCCTGTGACCGTCCTTTGGAGACTCCTGTGACTGGACAGTGAGTATCCTGGCCCGCCTGGTAGTTCATCCCCACCTGCCTCACCTCTTGGCCTCTCCCCGCCCTTGTGTCTCCTCATTTGGTCCCATGTGGAACACAGGTGGTGGGATGGAACTGGGTGACAGGAATCCTCACATTCTGACCCTCCTCTCTGTGTCCCTGCCCAGAATCATCCCTGTGACTCCTGTGGGTCAGGCCCTGCCTGGGCACCGTTCCATCCGCCCCTACACGGTGTTTGAGCTGGGGCAGGTCCGCCAGCAGAGCCGCAAGTAAGGGACAGTGGAATCATGGGCAAAGGTGTGGGTGGGAGGGTGGAGCATAGGTGGCCCCGGGGGGACATCCTGGGAGGAGTGCAGAGGCCTCCTAGTTAGGCTCGGGGCCACTAGACAGATTTTTGAATTAGGCCCCAGCTCTTCCCAGGGTGGCAGCATCAGAGGAACCTGAGTGACAACCTGCCCTTTTGGTCCCCTTTGGGTGTCCTGGGGGGCACAATGCCAAGGGTCCCAGATGCCTGTGAGAGTTCCTGGGCTTTTCACTTCCTCTGGCATCTTTAGCTGTCTCGGCAAGCTTGGGCCTGGAAGGAGAGGTGTGGGCACCGCTCAGCCAGAGGTGGGTTCCATGAGCGAGCTGGGTAGTGACACCTCAGCTCCCTGTGACTGGACAGGGACTGGTCCCTGCGCCCCGAAGGCTGTGGCTCACAGTAAAAAGGTTCCCCTCTTTGGAACCCTGGGGGTTCCAAGTGCATGGGGCCAGGTGTGTGATGCCATGAAGAAGCTCCTGCACCCCCTGCTGTAGCCAGAGGAGCTGTGTTCTCTCCCCTTTGACTTATTTGTACTTTGACTCCTCAGAAAAACCTTCCCTGGCAAGCCTGGCCCATCAGCAGTGCCTTGGGAAGGGCTCTTGCCCTGGGCCTGAGCTGCCCAGTGACCCCCATCCCTAGGCCAGCAGCCCAGGACTTCTAACCTTCCCCGTACTGGCTTCACCCACACAGGGCCCCACAGACTCTGGGCCCGGAGCCAGAGGGGGCACTTACACCAGGTAAGGGCGTGGAGTGCCTCAGGTTCTGTCTGCCGCTGGACTGACCACCCTATCTATGCCTGGACCCACAGCCTCAAGCTTGGCGGCACCTTCCCTCGGGGCGACCAGTCATCAGTGGAGCGGAGTGTGGGCCGCCTGCGCACCATGCACTCTAAGATGCTGCTGGACATCGAGAAGGTGCAGATTCACTTCGGAGGCTCGGTGAAGGCCAGCAGTCAGATGATCCGTGAGCTGCTGCAGGCCCACTGCCTCAGCTCTCCCTGCTACAAACGGTAAGGGACAGGGTCCAGGGGCATGCGGGCCCCTGCTACCTGCGCTTGGTTCCCACATGCCTCCCCATGGCCACGTGAGTGGACGCCTCACCCGTATGCGTGTGCACGTGTGCAGTGCCTGTGTGCACGTGAGTGTGCGTGCGTGTGGTCCTCAGGATGGCAGCCTTGAGGTTACTCTGCTCACTCACCTATACACCCCGGGGTCCCCTGTCCCTGCCCTAACTCCTGGAGACCCCTGAAGAGAGCTGCCCCTTCCGTCCATCCGGGTGACCCCACGCTGTCTGCATCCCAGGGTGCCCGACTCTTCGGATTACACCTACTCAACCATGTCCCGGCGCTGTGGGGGCAGCCACACTCTCACCTACCCCTACCGCCGCAACCGCCTGCAGCACCTGCCCCAGGGCCTGTATGCCCCCGAAGAGATCCAGATCGCCATGAAGGTCAGGGAAGAAGCCCTGACCTGCCCCAGATTCCAAGGAAGAACCACCAGAAGTCACTTCATCCAGCCCTCTGCCTTGAGGCAGTTTCTCAAACTTCCCCAGTTTCAAGCCCCAGCCTCTCACCCTTTCTTGAGAAGAAGAATGAAATCCCAGCCACCTGCCCAGCAGGCACACTGCCTCCACCACAGGCACTCAGAACGACACGTGCCTTTCACCTTGTCGCTCTGCCTTGGTGCAGCCCAGGGTGCCCGGGAGGAGGGTTCGTTGGTGCTCGGAGTAGGAGACAAGCGTGCGCTGTACCCCGGGTCTTCCTGGAGGCAGGACCAGAGGGGAGGCGCCGGACACTGCAGAGTAATGGACACGTGTTCCACCTCTACAGCATGACGAGGTGGATATCCTGGGCCTGGATGGACATATTTACAAGGGACGGATGGACACGAGGCTGCCAGGCATCCTGACCAAAGACCGTGAGTATCTAGATAGCCCAGAGGCTCTGCAGAGTCCTTTTGTGGGTTCCCAGGGACACCCATCTCCTCTGGCCCTTCTTTCTCTATGCCCTGCCCTGAAATGTTCACATGTCCCCAGAAGCCCCCAGTTTTTGAGTGTTTTCAGGGACAGGACGGCTGTGCAGCCTCAGCTAATCACGAGGCATGTGGCAGCCCCATCTTTTCTTGCCGGGCTTCACCCTCAACCACTGCGGCCAGGTGTTCCCGCCGTGGCCCTGGTTCCCAGCATCACCACAGCCAAGCTCTACTGACCCCTTGCTCAAAGCTCAGCAGAATGCCGCCTCCTGAGCCCGCCCCTTGATCTCCTGTGCCCCAAGTGCCCACTTGCAGGTTCCCATTCATTCCTGAAGCCTGCGTGCTGCTTATCACTGCCTGTCATGCCTTACAAACTCGCGTGCAGCTTTCCCATTGCCTCCCATCCTGGGGTGGAAACGCTGGGCTCAGAGCTCACCCAGCACCCGGCCCCTGGCTGATGTGTGCAGTCCTCAGAGAACACCGCAGTGAGCGGGAGGACAGAAGGACAGATGCGGGGGTAGACATGTGAACGAAGGAAGGGCTTCGATGGGCAAACTTACAAATTCAGGCTGACGGCCCTGTCTCACTCTGCCTATTCCTGTGGGTCCCCACGAGTGTTCCCTGGCGGTCTCAACTGACCCTGCCCTCTGGTGTCCTCCTTGCCTCAGGGACGACGAAACACAAGCCCAAGCAGTCTCGGCCCCATGGGCACAGGCAGCAGCCCCTCAGCAACACCAGCCAGCTGCCCTCTCGGCCTCAGAGCGCTCAGGCGTCGGCTGCAAACTCCTCAGGTAGCTTCCTGCTGGGTGGAGTAGCCCTCTCCGCAGCCTGGGCACTGCGTCCAGGGCTCTCCTTGCTGCCCCACGGCCCCCTTTTGAGCCCATGCTGGCTCATGCCTCTGGAGCCAGAGGGTAGGCCTGGGGGCAAGAGGGAAAATCCAGCTACTGAGTCAGGTCCATGGGGTGGCTACTACTGCTGCCCCATTTCCCATAAGGGGACACAGGGACAGGGGCGGACCCAGGGCTCTGGCCCCAGGCCGAGTCTTTCCCTGCTCACACACGTGCACTCTCCTGGAGGTGGTGAGCAGGGACTCGTTCTGAATGCTGTGGGCATCAGAGAGACCTTGCTGGGCCCTGCGGAGCTAGGTCATGCCTGGAGGTCAGAGAACTAAGAGGGCTGCAAGCTTTGACCACACGAGGGCCTGAATGCTGGATCGCTACCAGATGACCAAGCAAGTGTCTCCTGTCCATGGTCCCCATTGTCCTCAGCAGTCATCAAGAGGGAGCACGATTAGTGCCTCTCAGAGTCAGGGAAGCAGGGGGAACCTGACTCAGGCACAGACTTTCCTCCTGTAAAAAAGTTACACATCTCAGCACCTCGCAGATGCAGGCAGCAGGCTCAGATCTCCTAGTCCCCCTGGTTAAGAGCCCAGGCCCTCTGTGCTCACATCCAGTAAGGGCCTGCGGCTGAGGGGAGATAGGGAGGAAGCGGGAGGTGGTCAAGGTAGCAGTCGTGCCTTGCCTTCACTGAGGGCCTCTCACTGGCCCGGCGCTGTTTAGGAGCTTTACGTGGACAAACCAGCTTTAATCCTCTCCATGTCAGGAGATAAGGACCACGTTAGCCCTAGTTATAGCTGAGAAAACCACAGCAGAGAGAGGCTGAGGTACTTGCACAAGGTCGCACAGCTGGAAGTGGCAGAGCTGGATGGAATTCAAAGCCTAAGTATCTGGCTTCAGAGCCAGTGCTAGTAACCAAGGGGAATGGGCTGTGGAGAGGTTTCGGGGACTTTGGGGGCCCTATCTTACCTTGTCTCCTGGACACTGTCTACTTACTCCAAGAGCACTTAAAATACAGAAGCAAGTGAGAGACAGGCTGGAAGTCTTAGGAAAACTCTCCGGGCCTATCTGCGTCAATGTTGCCTAAACAGCCTCCAAGTATTAGGAGAAACACCACCAAAGCTCCTGGCTCCCCAGAAGGCGCATTTACTCATTTGCCCCTCACAAAGATTATTTTGAAGTCCCATGTGCTCAGGTGCCCGTATGCACACTTGCACTGTACACCCCAGTCCCTCAGCCAGGCTGAAGGGCCGCTCCCATGTCCCTGGGCTTCAGGTCCTGGTGGGCATTGGGAGCGAGGGAGTAACCTGGACCTCCTGTCCCACAGTTTCTTCAAAGCAACGCAAAGACAGACCTGTCTCCTCGGAGGGCCGGCTAGCCCAGTCTGATATGACCCACCCACCCAGCCCCGACCTGCAGGGTGGCCCCACGGAGCTGGGGATGAACACGGCTATGCCTCCTGAGGAGGGGCTTGAGGAGCCCACCAGGGGGCCAAGGCCCAGCACGGCCCAATGAACAGAGCTGTAAATAAAGTCTGGGAAGAAGGTGCTGCTGGGCTTTTTGTCTATTTTTAGTCTTTTCAGTACTGGGGATTGAACCCAGCACCTTTGCACTGAGCTACATCCCTAGCCCTTTATTTATTATTATTATTTTCTTTTTTTAGTTTTGAGACAGGGTCTTGGTAAGTCACTAAGTTGCCCGGGCTGGGTTCGAACTTAACCCTCCTGCCTCAGTCTCCCTGAGTGCTGAGAGACAGGCAAGGGCCACAACACTGGGCCTGAGGTTCCTTTCTGGTCCTGCCTCAGGAAGATCCGGGGAGAGGGAGGCATGCAGGGCGCCCCCGGCTGTGCTCTGTGAGAGCAAATCTGGTTTGGAGTCTGAAAGCCAGATCTCTGATCCCACAGGCTCGACAGATTAGGTTGTGGTGTTGCACTCCAAGGCAGGGAGGGCAGCTCACGAAGCCCCCACACCACAGGCTTGCTCTGGGGACAGGCTGGGCCTACTCTGAACCCATGAGCTCTCTGCTGCCCTCAGCCAGCCCTGCGCTGCTGCGACTTCTAGCCTGGGGGGCTGGCTGAGGGCACTCTGGGTAGGCTAGGACCCATGAAGTCCTACACCTGCTGTTACCCTGGAGATGAAGGTAGCGCTGCCTTGCTGTCCCCAACCCCCCAACCTGGAACCCTAACCAGTGCCACCAGCCGTAAGTCAAAATGTGTAGCCACTGGCAAGGGTTCCTCTTGCCATGCTGTGCCGCTCCCCTCCCCTCAGGACACTAGGAGAGGGGCTCAGGGCACAGGCTACTTTGCCAATGACTAGGAAGATGGGGAGGGGGCTTCAAGGGGTGGGATTCAGATGTGTGCGAGGCCCAGTCCTAGTCCTGTTCACCTCCAAACCAGCTCCAAATCTGAAGGCAGAACTCGCTGCCCTTTGTGCTCAAGATGTAGCCAGTGGAGGGACAGAGGAATAAGGTGGGGCTGAGCCTCAGCTGGGGCAGCAAACTGCAAAGGACAAGGCCCCAGCACCCCTGCCACAGACCTAACCCTCCTGAGCTCAGGCCCCCGCCATATTCTAGCAGTACCTCAGGAACGGAGAGCTGTCCCCACCTGGGCCCAGGACATCCTGAATCATCAAAGCGTTTCTGCCTCAGGTCTGTTCCCATCTCAGAGGGAACAGGGTACCCAGAGTGGAAGGGGATGCCCCCACCCCCAGTTCCCCTCACTCCCTCTCACGTGGGAAAGGGATGTCTGGAGCAGGAGGCTCACCCTGGGGTGTGAGAAGAGGGGTGACAGAATCATACAGGAAAGAGTGGCAGGAAATGGCCCAGAAATAGGTTTCTCACCCTTGGTTTAGCGTGGGTGAAAGTGGGCCTGGCTAGGGGGTGTGCGGAGCTGGGTGTTTCCCTGATCTGCAGAAACCCCATGCATCTATAGAATGTACTCATGTGCTTGCGGCCTGGACCAGAGGAGCTGCTAGGATAGCAAGTCCCCAGCAGGTACCCCTACCTAGCCCATTGCCCTTTTCTCTGCAAGCAGGAGGCAGAGCCAGGCCAACACCAGCCACCTCGGCTCCTGTTTCTCTCACTCGGCCTCCACTGCGGCAGTGAAATGTCAGAAGGTCAGCTCAGTTTCCCTGGCCTAAAGCCAAATTCACTGGCTTGGCAAGGAGGGGCACGCCAGCCCCTCTGGCCCAGGCCTTGCCCCGTGCCCACAAGAGAACCAGGAGCCACACCCTTTCACACCAGGCTGCCCCCACTACCCTGCACCTGGGTGGACCAGGCTCAGGTCCCAGCAACCCTCAGGATGTCACAGCCCGACTGCCTACAGGCCTGCCAGGGGCTGCCCCTGCCAGCTTGGGAAGGCGCAGGTGGGCAGCAGCAGGGAAAGGCTGGGAGGAGCCTCAGGGGTTTCCAACCAGGAAACAAAACTGAAAGGACAAACCCAGCTTCCAAGTACAGCCCTATGTCACAGGTAGGGGACAGAGCAGGAGGCCTCAGTTCTGCTCTGCTGACAAGAGGGGGTGCCCCCAGCAGGGATGAGGTGATTGAGAAGGCTCAGAAGCAAGCTGGGGTGGCCACCTGCTGGGCCCCTCGAGTTTCACTTCACTTTGGGGCTCTCCTCCAGCCCAGGTCTGTGTCCCAACAGCACTTGGTCCCTCTCAGACCATGGAAGTGGGAGACAGGATGGCAGGAGAGTAAGGGCTGGCCTGAGCGGTGGCGTCCGGGGCCCTAGGAGTTCCCACCATGTGGCCAGGCACCCACCTCGGCTGACCTTCGAGTCACGGCCACAGCAAAGGCAGCCACAGGCCTGCCTGAGGGGAGCTGAGGACGGGAATGGTGGATACGGGCAGGATGGGAGAAGCTTGGAGGGCCTGTGGGCAGCAGCCAGTGGGAGGCCACCGGGCAGACTGGGCAGCTGGCCCATGGTGGATGGAAATGGCTTGCAAGGCTGAGTGCTGAGGACTTTGCTGTTACGGGCTACACGGACAAGGGTCACCAAGGCAAGAGGGTAACAGCAACCAAGGTAGGATCCACCCTGCCCCGCCTGTGGTACCAAATCCCCTGGTATGGTCACCCCCTCTCCCACTGCAAACATCCAGATCAGCCAATGGGGCTTCCTCCCCGTCCCCAACCACAGCACACCCTGACCACCCCTGACCCTTTTCCAGGCTCCGCTTTCCCTACCAAGGCAAATAAAAGCACTGCAAACCAGGGAAGTTAGAAAAGTCTCTTTTAACTTTTTAAATTAAAATTTCACCCTGGTGAAATGAGAATCTCATTTAGGAACTCGACCCCAAGGCAAACTGTCCCGGGTCCATTTCCTGTGAACCTGGACGTAGAAGGGAGAGGCAGGGTGCCTGCAGGACAGGAAAGTCCTCCACTGGACAAAGTCTGACCTGACTCAAGCCAGCTCTTCAGTCCTATGAGCCGTGCACACCCAGCTGAAGATGGGGCGACAACAGCTAAAAAGCCACTAGGGGACATCACTAGCAATGACGGGTGGCAAAGAGGAGAGGGGAAGAATCCTGGGCACAGCAGCGGCAGGGCTGGGACAGCCCAGTGATGCCAAGAAGGGCCCTGTGGACCCTTCCTGCAGCCCTGAGCGGCAGCCCCCAGGCGGGGACACGGGGGTGCCCTTCCTGTTTGCAGGTGTGACTTCAAGGGATTCTTGTGGCCCTTCCCCTCTGCCCCTAGCACCCCAGGTGTGCGGCCCCACTCTCACATACATTAGTTATATTTATATATCCATATATATTATAGTTATATATTAAAAAGAGAAAAAAACTTGCCCGAAGTAAAACTTCCGAGGGACCCAAGTGGCCCGCGAAGTTTACTGGCCCCCCCACCCACAAAAATTCTTTTATAAAATCTTCCAGTGCGATCTTCAGGAAACCCCTCGACCTCCCCTGCTCCCCCCTCCCTGGCCCTCCTCTGTGTCCCCACAACCCTGGACTGCCCCCCTCACTCCAGCCCAGGGCCCGGCAGCATCCAGTCTCATCTCTGGCCATCCATAGCTGCCATGGCTTTCTGCTGGGTGCCCCCCTGCTGTGCTCCGGGGGGCCACGTGGGCTGTGGGCAGTGGAGGCGGTGGAAGGAGGTGGGGGAGGAGGGCGGTATCCAGGGCGCCTGGTGGCTGGGTGGGGAGGAGGCCCAGAAGGGGCTGAAGTTTGCAGGGGGGGAGCAGGCCACGGCCGTCATGGGGCTGTTGTTGCTCTGCAGACCCTCGGAGGTGCGAAGTTTCGAGAACATGGCCAGCGCGTCAGGGAAGTTGGGCGGCGTGGCAGGTGTGTTGCTTGGCGTACACATCTGCAGGGAGAGAACACAGGCGTGGGGAGGGCTGCCTGCCAGGGCCCTGGGGCCTGTTTACTCCCATTTTTCAGCCCACAGAGGCTTCACTAGGATAGACACATCCCCCTTGTTCATGATTTAAAAACAAAAAAATCAGGATAAACTCCCACCAAAGCCAAAAAGTGTCACACGATGCTAGGAAATGATGCCAAGGTGTATCAAAACGGTTGGTTCCCATCTGAAGCTATGGCATCACATTAAAATGAAAAGATACGGGGTAGGACACCACTGCCAATACCCCCCCGCTGGCTGAGGACCCCAACCAGCATCATCTGCCCTCTGATGTCCCCAGGGTGTGGGCCAGAGTGTTCAGAGGGTCTCCCTCCTGCACAGCCAAGGAAAAGCTGCACTTCCCTGGTGTCGGGGTCATCACAGCCACCAGGCCTTACGCTCTTGCCTCCACCATCTTACTTCTCAAGAGGAGGCCTGAAGTACTCTTTCCATGTTACAGAGGAGGAAACTGAGGCTCAGAGGCCAAGTCATGACTGAAAACAAACAGCCCAATAAAAGTAGAGAAGATTGAATTTCCAGGCTCCTAGTCTACAGACCCAAGCTTTTAACCTGTTCCCAGGCCCCGCTGTGCATGCGCTGAGACAAGGACAGCTCTGGGCCTGGTATACAGGATTTCTGCTCCCTGTCTGGAGCCTCCAGCCCAGGCTGCGGCCTGCCCTTGGCCCCACAGGCCAGCAGTAGCTCTCAGCCCAAACCGCCCAACCAGAGCCTCTTCTCTCTCTGCCCTGGTGGCCCCACAGGAGGGGCAAGAACAGGCAGCCCAGAGAACAAGACCCACACAAGCTGGTTCCCACCACAAAGCTGCTGCTTCCTCTCCCAGGAAGCCATGGGAGCCCTTCTCTGAATTTCTCCTAATTTTAGCAACCTCGGCCCCTCCCCCAGGCACAGGGCTGGGGTGCGCAAGACTCTAGGACTTGACCTTGGAGGAGCTCTTTGGAGAGGGGGACCCCCAGTCAATCACTGAGGCCAGGGCCACATTAGTTTCTAAGGAGCTCTGACTATTTTCTTCCCAGGGGCCCTCAGAGGTCAAAGGACTCAGCAGAGGCCTGGCCCCACCCAGACATTCCCCTCCTCCTCTAACTGCCTGCCCCTTAACAGGGCTGACTTCTGGGCAGCAGGAAACAATGAATGGAGGGGGGGAGGCCAGTTGCTTCACAGCATCGTGACTGACTTCCCCAGTTCACCAAGCCAGCATGGCCTCCTCCTCCAACAACCTCCAGCCTGCTGGCTGACAGGGCCTGTGCCCGCCTGCCTGGGTGAGCCTGGGCAAGCTCCTGCGCCTCTGTGGAGCTCTTCTCTACTTCGGTAAAACCTGGGCCTTACACCAGATTCTCCACAGCACCCTCCTCATGCTGCCAAGTGAACCCTACAACCCCTGCACTGCCCCTCTGTCGGCCCCTGCAGACGCCACTCTTCCTGATCAGACCCTTTCTAATCATCTGGGAAGCCTCCCCCAACTGGGAACCCACAGCAGTCTACAGAACAACCATTTATTAGTTACTCCTGCCTCGGGTCACTTCTCATATTGCTATTTTGCAGTGACTCGACTCCAGTGTTTTTATTTAACTTTTTCCTTTATTTTGTCCCAAGAAACTGCCAACTCTAGGAGCAGGGACACCATTCTGAGGAAGCACCCAGTAGTGATCAACGGTAGTTACAATGATTATGTCTGTTACAAAACCTGCCTCCATCCCCGAGGGAAGCTTTCAAAGGGGATTTCAATCCCCCCACTGGGATGTGCAGAGATTGGGAAAGAAGAACCAAACGGAGCGCCAGGTCCTGGCTCTTCCTGTAAGGCCCTGTTCCTGGCCCCCCAGCGTGGCTGTGCTGGCAGCCAGCAGGGAGACACCTCAAGGCTGTTTTGAGGACAGAATAGAGGCACAGGGCTCCCAGGTTCAGTGAGCCAGAAAATTCCACAGCTGGATGCTGGGGTGGTGTCCCCCAGAGATGAACCCTTCCTGGGCTTGCTAAGAGTCAGGCCTCAGCTACCTCCACCCTGCAGTCAGCACCATTATTCCTTCATAAGCCAAACGACATTCTTGCCAGATTCATATGGGGCATGAACCATTCTAAAAGAAAAGTTAGTTTAAAAAGTCAAGGCAGACCTCCTTCTACCTGTCCTTGGTGACTAGATGGGGACAGAGACCCAAGGACAAGACACAGCAGAAGAGCCCTGTGCAGCCAGGGCAAACACACCCAAGTGTTAAAAATGCCAAAAATGCATCCTGGAAGCCAGAGCAAGCCCCTGAGGAATAATGTTTTACAATCCCCAAGGAGCTCAGCCCCTCCCACCCCACAGGGGCTAATAGGTAACTAGGGGTTGGGGTGGAGAAGCCTCCGCCTGGGCCTCAAGAAAGCCAAGGGTAACCCCCTGGCCAGGAGGGCAAAGGCCCCCTGCCTGGGGCCAGGTTGGAAAGAGAAGAAAACAAATCCAGCCCCGAGCCACTCCAGTTCCCAGGACTGTGCATCTCTTAACAGAGATTAAATGCAAATTCTTGGCCTTATCTTGGGTCAAAATCTGTATGTCCTCTCGGTACAGGGTATGTTCCCCTGGGCGTTAAAAGGGCCAGCACACATATGCGAGTAGAGCCGCTTCCTGAGCCAGGCTGGATTTATCCCGTCCCTGCTTCCTGCAGCGAAGGGTGCGCGTGCGGAGGGGGAGGGGCTGCTCTCGCCCGCAAGAGGGGCTCCCCAGCAGCAAACCAAGGCCCGGGCCTCGGTCTCCTTTCCTGCGCTCTTCATTCGGGCTCCCCAGAAGTCTGGTCACCAGGCGAGCCCCCTTCCCATCCCGTTTGTCCTGCGACCGTCTCTCCCTCCTGTCGCCCCCCAACTCCGGCGCCCGCCCCCCACCCCCGGAGAGAAGCGGGAAGCGGGGAGGCCAAGGCCTGCGGCCCAGACTCAGCCGCCTGAAGGCGGGTCCCGAAGTTGGACGAGCCGGCGCCGGCCCAGGAGCGCTCTTTCCTGGAAGACATTTTGGCTCTTTGTTTACATTCGCGGCGCGGCGCTCCCCGGCAACATGGCTGTCACTGCCGGGGGTGACAGAGGCCCGGCCCGGCCCTGTGGCCCCCGCGCCCGGTCTCCCGGGGGACTACGCTCTGTGGGGGCTGCCCGCCGGGGGAGGCCGCTCCCTGGTGCCCGTCAAGCAGCGCGGGGTCCCGTCCGCGCCCTCCTGGCGACACTTACCATCTGGTGGTGGTGGTGACTGTTGGGAATGTTGGTTTCCTGGAAAAACGTGCTCAGGGCGGTCTGCGGACAAACGCGGGCGGGGCGGCGTCAGCGCAGCCGGGCTGCGGGCGCAGGAAGCCCCCGCCGGCCTCCGCGACCCGGGCCGACACCGACAGCGGCCCCCACCCAGGCCCCCAGGCCCCCCAGGCCCCCCAGATCTCAGGCTCCCCAGGTCTCAGGCCCACGCGCACCTCGAACTGCCAGTGCGCCGCCTGCAGCAGCTGCTTCGCCTGGTCGGCCGCGCAGCCCGCGGCCAGCACGAACTGGTTGATCATAACCTGGTGCCGCAGCTCGTCCGTGTTCACCGACATGGCGCGCCGCGAGGCCCCCGCAGCGCCGGCCGCGGGGATCCGGGGCTCGGCCTCCGCCGCCCGGCGAATGTTGTGGTTCCGATCCCGCCGCCCGACCGGCCGCCACCACAAACAACAGCGCGGGGCGGGGCCGGGGTGTCCCAACGTTCCGGGGCCGCGTGCCGCCGCCGCTGATTGGCCCTCGCTCCGCTCCGCTAGCGCTCGGCTCCCGCACCGACGTTCGATTCGAATCCTGCGGCCGGCCCAGGGGCCGCACTGTTTCTCTTTTCACCGGGCCGCGCCCATTGGCGGAGCTCAGCGCAGTGGGGCTCTCCCGCATTGGCCGGCCGCTGTGTTTTGGCTCGTTAAGGCTCATGACTGGCTGAAGCTGAGAGTTGGGGGCGGGGCCTCTCGCGCTGATTGGCCTCCTGTGGGTCTGTTTGAACTCAACTTGAAAACCTGGACTGCCTGCTGATTGGTCGAGGCCTCTCTGTTTGCTGTTGTAGGCCTGGGGGGTGGTGCGGCGAAATTCATTCATTACTTCATTGAAACTGAACATGCTCAGCTGGAAAAGCAAGACAGAGTGGCTTTGACTCATTTCCTCTGAAAGATGTGGTCATCTCGAGAAACAGAAAGATCGAAATAGAAAACACAGAACCTTTGCAGCTGCTCTAGTCTAAAAGTATTTAATTTTAAAAATAACTTTCAAGCAGTGGTGTGTGTGTGTGTGTGTGTGTGTGTGTGTGTGTGTGTGTTTTAATTAGCGAGCTATAGTGTACAGCAGGAGGGCCTGGGTTCAGTCAGCAGCGGAGGGGGAGCGGGTTAAACAGTATCATGTACAGACAGGAAAGCCGTGTCTCTTCGGCTACAGCTCACAAGACTTGAAAAAACGAGCAGCATTCTTCCATAGCGCACAGCGGTAATGCCAGCGTTCTAGGAGGCTGGTCAGGAGGATCCCAAGTTTGAGCTCAGCCTGAGAAATTTGGAGACTTAACAAGATCCTATATGAAGAAAAGACTAAATTTTCAGTCTCAAAATTAAAAATTTAAAATGGGCTGAGGATGTAGCTCTATGTGAAGGCTCTTGTGTTCAATCCCCAGTACCGCCAAAAACAAAAAAACAGAACATTTCCCACCCCCTTCCTGTTCCCTTTTAATCACTCCCTACCCACCCCAAGGACAGAGGAAGCTCTTGCTCCGTGAGAATGTAAACCAATATTAGTGTGCCATAAATATAATGGCAAAGAGAAAGGTCACTTTCTCAGATGACTAATTTCTAAGGTGAATTTTTTTTTTCTTTTAAATTGGTTGACCTAACCGAAGCTTCAATTTATACCATCTTTTAAAAAACAGTGTTAGCCAGGAGTGGTGGCACAGGTCAGTAATACCAGCACTCAGAAGGCTGAGGCAGGGGTATTGCTAGGAGTTCAAAGCCAGGCTGGGGCTACGTGAGGAGACCCTGTCTCAAAAAAAAGGTGATTGTTTCCACACAGGTACTTTTTCAACCCTACCCCTTTATTTACTAACTTAATTTTAGAGTTGGGGTCTTGCTATATTACCCAGGCCGGCCTCGAACTCCTGGGCCCAGTGATCCTACTACCTCAACTTCAAGAACAGCCAGTACTCTAGGCACACAGCACCTTGCCAGGCAGTCCTAGTCCTTCAAAACCCAAATTTATGTATATGTGCTGAGTTTCCACCTTTTAGGTTAGGATCTGGCCTTTAGGGTTGTTTGGCCTTCAGACAACTATAAGTGTAAAGCAAGGACTAGAAATTTAAATAAATTTAGGGAAGAAGCAGAGTTAGGAAGGTAAATACAGTTTGACCTCTGTGCCTGGTGCGTTCAACTAATTACAGTTTCCCCCCTCAACTATAGGTTTTTTAAAAATTTATTTTCTAGCCGGGCGTGGTGGTGCACATCTGTAATCCCAGCACTTGGGAGGCTGAGGCAGGAGGATCGTTGCAAGTTCGAGACCAGCCTGGGCTACAAAGTGAGCTCAAGTCCAGCCTGAACTGCATAGCGAGACCCTGTCTCAAAAAGAGGAAAAAAAAAAAAAAATTCTAATAATTGTAGACTGGGGTAGCTCAGTAGTTGACCATGAATGGGTAAGACCCTGCATTTGATCCCAGCACAAACTAAACAAAAAAGTCTTGTATTTGTTCTGAGCAAGTAGGCGTTGTTTTGTTGCTTTTTTGAGACAAGATCTCGATATGTAGTTCAGGGTGGCCTTGAGCACACTATGTAGCACAGACTGGCCTTGAATCCTCTTGCCTCAGCCTCCTGAGTGCTGTGAGTACAGGCCTGCACCACCAAGCCTGGCCAGAATTTTTTTTCTAGTTGTTATTCCCTAAACCATATAGTATGGATGCTGTTTACAAGATATTGTTTTTTTGGTTTTTGTTTGTTGGGTTTTTTTGTACCAGGAATCAAACAGGGCCTGGTACTTGCCAGGCAGGCATTGTGCTGCTCAGCTATATCCCTGGCCCTGTATTAGGTATTATAAGTAGTCTAGAGATTATTTAAAGTACACGGGCACCCCGGGCATGGTGGAGCACACCTGTAATCCCAGCACTCAGGAGGCTGAGACAGGAGGAGTGCTGTGAGTTCGAGGCCAGCCTGGGCTACATGAGCGAGTTCAAGGCCAGCCTGCACTACCTAATGAGACCCTGTCTCAAAAACACCACCACCAACGACAACAAAAAAGAACATGGGAAGGTGTGCCGAGGTTATAGGCAAATATTATACCTAGAGACCTGAGCATCGGAGAATTCTGGTATGGCAGAGAAAAGAGTCCAGGAACAAGTCCCTCGCCATGTGCCACCACGCCTGGCACAACCAACTTTTATATACTGATGCAAAACACAGCTGGAAGTTTAGCTCAGTGGCAGAGCACTTGCCCTCAGCAAACTAGGCACACTAGCACATTCCTATAACCCCAGTACTCTGGGAGGATGAAGCAGGAGGAGCCAAGCTGGAACCCAGCCTGGGCAATTTAGCAATTTAGTGAGATCTTGTCTCAAAATTAAAAAAAAAAAAAAAAAAAGTGAAATAAAATAAAAAGGGCTGAGGATGTAGCTCAGTGCAAAGGCCCTGGCTTCAATTATCAGCACTGCAAAAAGAAAAGAGAAGAGAAGAGAAAAGAGAGGAGAAGAGAAACAGCCTTGGGCACTGAAATGAGCTAATCCCATTTAGGTTGTCCTCGGTTTATTTTGAAGGGGTTGGAGTCCTGCACTTACCCCTTTGACACCCCAAAGTGTTCATGGGTTGAGATCATAAATGTGGCTGGAGATTCAGTTATAGCTGTTTCTCAGTATCCACGGGAAATTTGTTCCTTGACCCTACAAACGTGCCAAACTCTGTGGACGTTCAAAGCCCTTATGTAAAACAGGGCAGTATTTGCATAGAACCTACCCACGTTTTCCCATACACTTTAAATCAACTGTAGGCTATTTATAATACAACAATACAAATGCTATGTAAACAGTAGTTGTATTGTTCAGGAAGTAATGACAAGTGAAAAAGTCTGTTTGGTACAGACACACTTTTTTCTTGAATATTTTCAATCCAGGGTTGATTGAGTCCAGGGATGCAGAATTCCAGGCCAGAGGGCTAACCATGCTGTTGCAGCACTTAATTGCAAGGTGAAAACTAAAGTCACCAGCAAGCAGCTTACACTGCCAAGTAACTCCAGCCACAAGCAGCCCTGGAACAAGCAAGTACTGGCACCATGGGGCTGCCGGTTTTCACAAGTACATACAGGTGTCAAACATGCCTGGGCCCTGAACAGTAGGGCCTACCTTGGATAGAGCCAGTCCTGGCTGTTGAAGAATATACCTGATACCCCCCTGATCTTCATTAAGTGATCAAGGAAGGCAAGGGCCCCAAATTGCCAAACCTATTATTTCCTGGGCATCAAGGTGGTTTATTTAAAGTTTACCATTTGCAGGACACGGCTGTGGGTGCCTGGGCCAGGCCCAGCAGTCATGGCTCCAAGCTAGCGGGACCAGGGTTCTGATTATCTTCTGTGCACATAAGGTCACCCTGGGAAGGAGGAGAGAGGGCCTTAGTGCTCTGCCTGTGATCTGCCTCCTGAGAGGTGGATGCACTTAATCAATACTCAGGCTCCTAAGAATCTGGTTGAAGATGAATGAGTGCGAGGCGTAGGAGTGTTGTCCCCCCACCCCCGAGCAGGGAGAATGAATGAGGTCATGTTTGCAGGGAGCTTTGAGCTGCCAGGATGAAAGCAACTTCCCAGGTACAAGGTGTTATTAACTGAAGGTGTTATTATTTTAATCTGAGAGGACAATGTGCAGCAGGTAAAACAGAGCAATAAAAACATGTCCATTAATAACAAATAAAGCACAGTAGTAGCCTTGGCAAGAACAAAATCTTCTTTACATCAATGGCTGAGGCTACAGAACCAGCAGTGATATAGCAACTAAGACAAGAAACAATCTTACCTAGTATTTCCCAGTGCCCAGATAACAAGGGAGCCATAAACAAAAGTCACCGGGTCAGTCCAGAAGCAGGCACAATCCCTGAACCGTGACACGTAGCTGCCACTGGCCAAGCACTTTCCGTGTACGAGGCACCTCTCTGAGAGTTCATATCTGCTAACTCGTGTCCATCCTCCCAACCACGGGCCAGGGATGTGGCTCAGCAACACAAGCGCCTGCCTGGCAAGCGCATCCTCCCAACCATCCAGAGTCCCATTTCACAGGGCAGGCAGTCAAGGTCCAGGGCCCAGGAGCAGTTTCCCAAAGGTCGTAGTGTAACAAGTGTGGGAGCGAAGCAGCAGTTCTATATCAGACTGCCTGCCTTCATGGCGTAATTGTCACATCAGTGGGGCTCCTTCCAAATAAGAGTTGTCAAGGACTCTGAGATTTCCACTGGGGGGGGGCATGAAATGAGTGAGCCCTGGTTTAAGGAGGGCACCAACTGTCTTAGGCAATGACAGGGGAGAGTTGGAGAACTGGCATTGCCAAGTACCTTCTCTGCAATGCATTTGATTTCTATTTTTTATTTATTTATTTATTTATTGTTTTTTTTCCGGTACCAGGAATCAAACTCATGACCTCGCGCTTGCCAGGCAGGCGCTGTGCCGCTGAGCTAAATCCCCAGCCCCTATTTTTTATTTTTTGAGACAGGGTCTTGTTAAATCACTAAATCACCCAGGCTGGTCTCAAACTCATGATAATCCTCTTGCCTCAGCCTCCCGGAAGGCTGAAATTACATGTGTGCACTACCATGCCCAGCTGCTTCTTCTTCTTCTTTTTTTTTTTAATCAAATCCAGGGGTGCTGTACTACTAAGTTATAGCCACGCTCCTTTTACTTTTTTGTTCTGAGATAGAGTCTTGCTAAGTTGCCAAGCCTGGCCTGGAACTTTCGATCCTCCTGCTTCAGCCTCCCCAATAGCTGGAATTACAATATATTTGGCTGCTCTCTTTTTGTGGACCTCTAATGCTCTCGCTGTCTTTTGTTTCTTTAACACAACCTAATTTTTGTTGCGCTGTCCTTAATCCCTCGGTTGGATCACCTCATTAACACAGCCACCTAATACGGTGGAACCACCTACGTCTTCAGCTAGCAGGCGTGAAAGTGAAGAAGCGCAGTGGTTGAGGGATTTGCCCAAAGTTGTCAGGGTGGAGCTGAGATTAGAGCCCAGGTCTATATCCAGAGGAGCCACTCTTACAGACCCCAGCCCACCTTCAGGACCCTGCCCATCTGGAGTCCTCTAGGTCCTCCCCAGATGGTACCAGCAAGATACTAAAGCTTGCTGGTGTTACAGCAGCGACGTCCAAGCCAATCCCTCAGGGATGAGCTCATGCTGGTTTATACCAGATTACATTTTACACAAAATGTCACGTGTTTCACAAGGGACAAAGGCCAGGCCACTCCCAGAACACTTTAGGCATTTCCCAAAAGCAGCACTCTGGTCCGTACACTCTGTCCCATACCTGCCAGCCAGTGATAAAGTGGCCCCACCTGTGGTTGCTAGGTGTGTCCTCTGGTAGGTGAGTCCTGGCAGTTCTTTTAAAGGGACGCTTGGCCAGACACAGGAGGGGAAGATAAAGGCAGGGCCAAGGGACCGCCTCCCCAGGAGGCTCCTTCTTCTCAAAGCACACTTAACTGGAAGTCTGCTAAGGACTCAGGACTTCCAGCCACTTTCTCTGGGTGGGACACCAATCGGTAAACCTGGAGCTGGGCCATTCTAGGTTGGCCTTTGTGTCCAAACCACAGGAGACCCGTCACTGTGGCAGCCTTCCTACCTGACTGACATTTTCAAATTTGAAAAATATGTCATGCACCAACAGTGTTTGTGTAATTGAAAGGGTGTGATTAAAAAAGAGGGTGTGTGCTTAAATTTTAAAATTTATTACAGTAAAAGGCCCATTGCCATTCGTCTCCCTCAGAAGAGTTCCCCTTGCTTCCAGCATACTTGCCCCATGTTCTCGCCACTTTCAGAAGCAGTTCTGAAAGTCTTCATTCATGTCTTTTGCTGCAGTGCTGTGGCTACCTACACATCCTGAATAGACTGAAAATGTTGACTTCTCATGGTCCTTTAGACTCTGGGTAAGAGCCAGAAGTTGTGCTGTACCAGATCTGGTGAACAAGGTAGATGAGGACACACTGTCATGTTGTTATAAGCCTACCTCAGCGCTCAGCACAGCATTCACCATTTTTTTTTAATCACATCTCATAAAGGCACTCACAAAAGAAGACTTCTAGAACGGCTTCTAGTTCTAGAATGGCAGGCTGTGTTCGGATCAAAGGAGAGTGTTTTGAGGAGCATGGATGGCAATATATCATTTACTGTATTTCTTTAAAAATTTAAACATTCAGGGCCAGGCGTTGTGGCTCACGCCTGTAATCCCAGCACTCGGGAGGCTGAGGCAGGAGGATCGTTGCAAGCTCAAGGCCAGCCTGGGCTACAGAGTGAGCTCAAGGCCAGACTAAACTGCAGAGCGAGACCCTGTCTCAAAAAGAAAATAATTAATTAATTAAATTTAAACATTCACTGTGTCTTTCAATCACCCCTTGTATATGTTCGATTTAAAGACTAATAGTCACCCATGTACCCAATACAGGTCTTAAGAAGTCTGAGACCAGTACCTTTGAAGGGTCTTCAATGAGTCTTACCAAATGCATCCCCTCCTTGCCCCATCAGAGATACCTATTCCTCAAATTCATATCTACCATTTTTTGCTTTTTTTGTTGTGTAAGCTTATGGGTCTCTTGCAATGCATGACAGTCCATCTGCACGCTTAACCCTAGTGGGTGAGCTCAGTGGTATCTCTCTTTTTTTTTTTTTTTTTTTGTCTTTTTGAGACAGGGTTTCACTGTGCAGTTCAGGCTGGCCTTGAGCTCACTTTTTAGCCAAGGTTGGCCTCGAACTCCCAACAATCCTCCTGCCTTAGCCTCCCAAGTGCTGGGATTACAGGCGTGCGCCACCACACCCGGCTTTTCAGTTTTATCTCTTTATTAATGTGGAGCACTCATTGCAATCGCTGACTTTTCTTCTTTTCTTTACACACTGGCAACTCTTATTCAAATTAGCAGTTGCCGGTTTTAAGGAAATAGTGGGAGAAGGCTCCTTAGAACGTGGAAAACAGAAGCCGGGAAGGATGCAGGTACACTGAAGGGAGATGAAAAGGGATTTTTGGAAGAGTGAACAGTGCAACTCAAAGCAAGTTCACACCAAGCCCACGAAGTGCGCATGTGCTGGGCGACAGCAGAATGCGCAGCACTGAGCGTGGATAGGCAGGGCGTGGAAGGGACCTGTTCAGGGAAGGATGCGGGTATCCTTTCCTTTCTCCATGAAAATGGCATGTGCTGTCAAGTTGTCAAATTCACCCAGTCAGGCTAAACTAGGTTGAATTCATGGGCTCTTACAGTTTAAATCTGGTGTGGTAGTACACACCTGTAACTCAGGCTCTCTGGGACGCTGAGGCAGGAGAGTTGTTAGTTCCAGCCCAGCCTGGGCAACTTAGTGAGATCTTGTCTTAAAAATTGAAAAGGGCTGAGGATGTAGCTCAGTGTAAAAGCCCTGGGTTCAATCCCTAGTACAGTATTGGCGGAGGAAGAAAAACCTGCAGTCTGCTCACCCATAGTAGGAATCTTCCATTGTCTAACAGGTGCAAGTTGGAAACTATAGCTGTCAGGTTCATTTTTTGTAAATAAAATTTCTATGAAACGGGTATGCAAACTCTTTTGCATGTTGCCTTGAACTTCCTTTGTGCTAGAGGAGCTCAGTCATTGCACTACAGACCACAAAGCCAAGAATATTTTCAGTCCAGCTCTTTGCAACATCTGGGAGGGCTGAGTGTCAACAATGCAGTGTGGTAGCCTGGAAGTAAGCGCCTCTACTAGAAGGTCAGTGTCCAAAAGTCATGTGACTTCCCCAAACTCCAAGGTGGCAGCACAGCAGAACCTTCCCACACTCAGAAGTAGATGAGTCCAGGGTGTGAAAGCCCTTAGCAAAGCCTGACCAGGCGACCAGGTGGTGGACAGTGAGGATGGACCTGTTCTCATTCACTCATCTCTAAATCCCAGTCACAGAGAGAATTTAGTTATTTGGTTTTTTTGAAACAGTCTTGCTATGTAGTTCAGGCTGGCTTTGAACTCACTGTATAGCCCAGGCTGGCCTCGAATTCACAGGGATCCTCCTGCCTCAGCCTCCCAAGTGCTGGGATTACAGGTGTGTGCCACCATGCCTGGCTAAATTTTTGTTATTTTATTCATTCATTTATTTTTTGTAATCCTGGAGATGAAATTCAGCACCTCTCTCCCATGCTAGACAAGTGCTCTTCCACAGAGCCACATCACCAGGCCCACAGAGGGAATTTAAATTGCCTAGGACTCAGCAGAGAATAATGTTCAAAGCGGTATGAAGTTTATGAGGTAAAGCATGAGATCTCCAAAAATTTCTACATCATAAGAAGTCAGAGTACAGTGAAAAAAAAGAAAGAGGAAGAGAGAAACAGAAGTCCTGGAAGAGA